CACCAGAACGTTTAAGGATTCAACTATCACATATGTGAAAATCAGAAATATACGAGTATTTTTGATGCGAAGCGAGCGATTTAAAAAAAAGACAAATTTCACCCGCCGTTAGTTGGGAGTAACCTTAACAATGATGATTTCATTTGTCTGGATTTTGGCAGGTCAAGTTTCTTGTTAGAATTGCTTCAAAAGAAAATTCAGAGAACGCATTGAATGCTGGCGTGAATCGTGATGAGGTATCAATAAATATTGAGATATTGTGAATACATGATATATAAATCGATTGAAAACAACTAATTCTTCTGGAACATCATCAGGATGAAGACGTCCGTGCGGAAAGACAGCGCGTGCTTGGACTTGACAAAGAAGACATTAAAATAGAATCAGTTGTTATCAAAAATCTCACCAAGGTAAAAACCGCATCAGTGGTCTTTTATATATAGTAAAATCTAAGTTTCATTTTCACACRGTTTTTTTAGCTTTATATTTTGGTTTGATATTGTTGTCGCTGTTTTGTTTTCGTTTAATAAAATATTTCTGTCTTCGTTTACTTTTTCTGATGTTTGCTTAGTTAGAACTGGTCTTTGTACAATTTTATTTTCGTTTGTTGGTATGATTACTTTGTGATAATATTATCATTCATCTTGACAATAATTCCATTTCTTGCTGTTGGTACCTAGACTTCGTTTAGATGCATGTCATTGTGTTGTCTCTGTACATAGGTATATCGTGGATCAGACAGAACTGCTGTTGATCATGTTTGCGTCGGAATACCAAGAGGGGAATGCTTTGGACTTCTTGGTGTAAATGGTAAGTGAGGCGTTATCAATAAAGTACTTACCGTACATTTAAACTCATCACTAAAGATGGGCTTGGCGTTAGGTGCGTGTTCGGTGGCAGTGGGGTCCCTGGCGCGAACTTGTGGTAACCATGGTAACCCTGTCACAACCTCACCTCGCATCTTTCACACTGACTGCAAACGGTCAGTGGAATACTTACCTATACCCACCAGTTAAATTCTACATGGGAGAGGGGTGATGGCCAAGAAACGGCGTTTTCGATGTAGCGAATAATTGCAATAATCGCGTTGTGTGCTAGTGATAGAAAATGTCAAACTCGTTTTGGGCTGGCGTGATCACGTGAGTAGCGTGTGATCGTGATTCTTTATAACTAGCGTATATCGAATTGTCAGGTACTCCTAATGAGCGAAGACAGCTCGTGCGCATGCGTAGTGKGTGTACCAGCGCTAGCGAATGGCGTTTGGTTGAAGTGACGTTGCGCGATAGCATTGATATTGATTTCGGTGAGAGCGCTGTTACCAATCAGTTCGAGTGGTTTGAGCGATCATGTGAATAGAACGTGATTAGTTATTGCTAGCGTATATCGCATTGCCCGATAATATATTGTGCTCTTGTTGATAAACCAACGCTAATATAATGGTTTGCGGTGAGGCGTCGGCTATCATTACGTTCGAGTTTAATCTTGCCTGAACTGCATTTAACACATACTTACACCAATCAGGTGCTGGAAAGACAACGATTTTTAGTATGCTGACTGGCGACCAAAGCATCASTGAAGGCTCAGCCTACGTTGATGGCTATAACTTRCAAACTCACCTCAGACAGGTAAGCGAATTAAAGTTCTTTGTTTCAGACATTTTGCTTTGTACTAAAAGTTAAATATTGRCATTTAGGTGCAGCAACGCATTGGATATTGTCCTCAGGTCAGTATGAATCACTAATACATATTGACTTGGATATACGGCACCGCGTCACACTAGTTGTATACGACTGTGAGAACTAATCGCGGACAAAATACGATACACTGGCCTTCAAATATTCGCAGTCATTGACGAGTAAAGTTATCCTTCAGCAGCATGATTGAGATAAAGAGAAAATATACAAATGTAGCCCGGGCTGCTGTGATGTAATAAATAGAGGATATTACATGGGCGCGCGGGGATACAGATTTTATCGTCGAGGTATATCGGTTTCTGATAAAATTGCGCTTCGCCGACTTAGAGAGCCATGATTGGTTGTTGACGAACAATGGTTTCTTCGCCTTTTTCCTGTAGAAATCGAACGATGTAGATCCATCGTTGTTGATTGTGACATTGAAGTCGAGCAGAGAAAGGCCATCTGAAGTCTTCGTCAGAGGCTTTTCGAAAAATCTAGTGGATTGTATAGCGAAACATGGTCCCCGACGTCTTTTAAAGAAGGAAATTGTTAAAATACAATATCAATCGATTCGTTCAACGTACGAAGTTGATAATACTAACAAGATAAAATTGCGTAACTCTTCAYTTGACCTTATAACTGCCACAACACTCAAACAGGGCACAGCTCAACGTGATTGAGTAAAAATCTCGAGGGAGTTTCATTTCAGCCTCCAGTCGACTCATACCTGATCGATGATAGACCGGTGCTCATCCACTACTTTGTATTCAAGATTCTTTTTTCCATTTGATGTAGGACCCATACCGTTTATACTATCAGTTCATTTTATAATGCATGCCTATGACGCCTGACACAATAATTTCTGATTTTCTCTGAATTAATTCTATACTGAAAGTAAAAATTTGAATGGTAAAAATATTCCTTTTTAGTGTTGCGTCTTTATAAGGGTTCATTSTTACAATATGCTAATGACAATGACGTCAAGGAAGGCTTCGTTAAAATATACGAACTTTTAAGTACTCACAYCAATATTTTCTCATGAATGTCATCAGAGAATACCGGTATATTTTACTTTTACTTTGTTCGTATATATAATGAAGCCTCTCTTGACGTCATTGTCATTAGCATAGAGCGGATTTCGTATGAGTGGGACACCGTTACCGCACGGCTACCGCACAGTTACCGGACCTGGCCT